CCTGTGTGCCGAGTGGCCGCAGGGTTCCGGTGTTAGCGGGAAAGGACGGGAAGGTTCTAGCGCGGGGAAATCACGGAGACCCCCGATGGAGTCTGCCCTGGGGAGAAGAGAGTGCTTTTGCTGGCTCTGCTGGGCATGCAGCCTCGGGGACTGTAGGCCCGAGCTTATTTCTGCCGTGGTGAAGAGCAGCATGTGAGTCGGGATGGATTCAAAAGCCTGTCTCTGCCCTCCTTTTGTGGTTTATTTCCTTTTTCTTGCCCTTTCTGTTTATTCCCACCTGGACATCTGGCTCTTGTGGGTTTTTTTCCTTTATTTTTCTTCTCTCCTTTGTAGTTGTGGGGTACACACCAGGTAGCTCTGCTGTCTAAGGTGCAGCGATGCATTTTGGATCTAAGTGCAAGGGCTTCCTGTACGTCTTCTGGTCACGGTCATGACTTCCAAAGGTCTGACCTTGGTGTCACTCCTAATAGTGGAGGTAGATGTTGAAATTCTAATTATTTTGAGCTGTTAATAACTTAAAAACATCTCTTTGCCTTTATTTTTAAAAGAAGTGCTTTCAGCAAGATAAATCTCAAGTACTATGATTATATGTTAGTGCTCTTGCATGAATGTTCATATAATATGTGAGAGAGACAAAACTGGGTGTTGGATTTTATTAAGTTTCCAAGAAAGTACTTCTGTTTTTCAATGTAGTAATCTCATTGCTAGCCAACTAAAGCCCTGAATCGCCCTCGGTACGCTAAATATATTCGGTAGGTGCACTTATTTCTTAAAAGCATTATGTTTAATCTTCATCCTGTTTCTAGGCAGATGCAGTCAAAGGTGACCAGAGACTTCGTAGTCTTTTCTGCTACATTCATTATTTCATGTACCAGTTGGTTCTTTGGCCTTTGTGTTGGGAGAATAACACGTTGCAGAAGATATCTGAGCTTATGCAAGGTCACACAAAGTCAGTACAAACCACAAGACCTTTTGAGTTCAGCTCAGGGCATTAACCATAACACAGCTCAGAGACAAAGTGTTTAATGGTTGGTGCTTGGAATTTGTCCTTGTTCATGTGTCAGACTGGAAGGAAAGAAATGAAATAGTTATGATGTAGCCGTCTTAACAGAGTAGACCTGGTTTTGTGCTGTGTATTTGTATTTGAATAGCTTCAGGGTGTTTGTCTTAAGTCAGTGTCCAGGTATGTTAGAGTAACTTTCTTGCCCTGTGTACTACATGTTTACCTGGTTGTCTTTTCAGGTAACAGTTTCTAGGACATTTGACTCTACTTCTGAAAGTCTGGTATCTGCTATGTCTTTTTTTCCTACTTCTGCTTTACAACTATGAACTTAGGTATCTGTAAAGAACCCAAGCGTAATTGGTACTGGCTTGCTTTTCTTAATTACTGTTTATGAGCATCTAGCCAACAGGTCAGTCTGAATTGTAATAAAGGAGATAACATAAAGCTCTACTATGCAGTGGCTTCTACACATGTCTGTCAGTTGGGGAGTATGACTTCTAATACAGTAAATTTTTGTGAAAAAGGAGTGTGAACAAACAGTTGTGGTGTCTGGGCAGTGGTAACTACTGCTGTGCTGTAAAGATGCAGCTAGGCAGAGCTGCCCCAAGATACAGACCCAGGATCTGCGTTCTCATTACACCTGCATAGAAAGACTTGTTTGTGTTTAACCAGTCATCCTGGCAAGCTGTAAGCAGGGTATTGCTGCTGTCTGCGGATCTGCTAGTGTGACCAAGCTATTTCAGTGTGATATGTAAGTCTCAGACCAGCATATTTACAGTCTTGAGCAGTATCTCAATTAAAAAAACTCTTGTAGCTTATGTATTGTTCTGACTGTTACGTGATTCGTGGCTTTTAAGTTTAGGCTTAATATGGTGTCTGTGATTTGGTATTAGTTACTTCTGAATAAAGAAAAAACAACTCTTTTGTTGTCTTGGTGATTAACTTCGAAGCGTAAGATGAGAAATGTGAATGTAAAATGCAGTGCAAAATCTGGAACATTCTGGGGAAGAAGTTCCTTTACAAAAGCGAAATTTTGAGCTCAGTAAGCTTGCTAGTGTTAACTGGTGCTCTCTAGATGCTGTTGAACGTAATTGTAATTTCGATAAAGGAATTCATTTCAGAAGCAAAAAGATGGAGCAAAAAATTTCTGAATAAGAAAGGTTTTTACTGTCTTTTGATTGCCATTAGTGCTTTTCTGGAGTTGGTTTTTAAGTTGATGTAACACTTTATTGGATATTATAGTGGAGTAACACCGCTAGATCTAATAGCAAAAGAACCTAGATTATCCCTTTCTGCTCTGGGGAGTATTTTCTACATAGTGTATTGTTTTCTATATGCTTATTCTATATGTTAGTTTTAATTTTGCTCATACATATCATATCTATAAAATGCTAAGCATAGTAGCAGAACTGTGCTGTTACCTTACACTTATTTCATACTGTTAATTGTGAACTTGTGTTTTCTGGTTGTGCGTAATCATATGCTCTGTAGCTGCAGCAAACTGGAAGAGGGAAATGATTCTTGCTTTTCAGCTGCAGTAACTTTGGAATTTGTGAAAATTAATAACTTGCTCTTTTAAGACTGGATGGTTTTATACAGAGTACTGTATGGAGCAGTGCAAATGAAATATCCCTTGAATAAATGTGATCTGAAAGACTCTTTAATGAACCTTGTTTATGAGCATTGAATGTGATGATTAAATTAATAAAAGCTGTATGAATCTGATGTTCCGTATTTGAAAGAAAATTAAAAAAAAAAAACCTGTGTAAAGAATCTGAAAAATTCCAGAAAATATCTGTATAAAAAAAAAAATCTAATGCTGATCTCGTAGATCTGTATGGTCTCTTCTTAAATACAGAAGTTGCACTATCACAGAATACTTAACCAAAGATTTGTCTCCAGAATAATAAACACTCTTGCTTAATTAATTCCTTGATAGAAAAAAAATGTTGGATATTGCAGTTCTGAGTCACAATTTCTCTTAGCAGCTTTTGGGATTCATTTCTATGTTTTAAGTGTCCTGTGAGCTAAAACTTGCCTGTTTCTTTCTTTGCTTTTTGTTTTTAAAGGAACAAACTCAATTTGGAAGGCCTATAATCAAATCTTGTCTGTCCAGAAGGTGCTTGTTTAAAGCAAGGGAATTATTTTTGGGTATAGCACTACAGTTGAGTAATACAGCATGGGAGATTGTATTAGTTTAATACTTGGTAGAAGGCAGCACTCAAGTCAATTTTTTAATTTCTGATATTTGTTACCATTTATGATTGTTCATATGTATGCAATTTTTTTCTTTCAATTAACTAGAATACAGCTGTGCATATGGCTCGGGCAGATTCTTTGTGCTTTGTGGCCTTGGTGGGATTATTAGCTGTGGAACAACACATACAGCACTGGTTCCTCTAGACCTGGTTAAATGCAGAATGCAGGTTTGTTCTGCATGTGTTGGTATGTGGTGACATTGACAAAGCATGTTTATTGTGGTACAGTTAATCTACTAATGAATTGGAGGCATAAAGTATCCCCTGGACATCGTTGTCCAACACTGCATGGAGTTTATGTAAAAGCATGGTGTGTCTTTTATGTTTTGCTGCAGAATACAGTTGTGAATATGGCTCGCTCAAGTTTTACGCTCTCTGTGGCGTTGGTGGGGTCCTAAGTTGTGGCCTGACACACACTGCTGTTGTACCTCTGGATTTAGTGAAATGTCGTATGCAGGTTTGTATTAACTTAAGCATTTCTTAAACTTCTTCTCTATGTAACCAGCATATGTAGAATTTACAGTAGGGATGCAGTCTTTTCTGGATGACAGAAAGTGAGTGCATTTGAGTGCTAAGTTAGCAAGTCTGCTACTGTGAGACTAACTAAATACCACTTTCAGGAGAAGCAGAGGCATTTGAGATAATCTGGATGAGTTATTTTTGAGTATGTTTAAGGTGCATTTAACTGACTATATTTGCTAAAAGGCACCCACCAGTGTTACTCTTAGCTGCCTGGCAGGCAGTCTAGCACTGTTCATGTGCTTTTGGAGGAGGGAAATAAGTATCTTTGACGTTTTGAAGATCTATGGTTTTTAGCCTGAAGTGACATGCATGTTTAATTTGATCCATTAACACTGTGGATATCACTGCATGGCTTATGGATTGGGTACTTTCTAACAATGCCACTTTGAGTGGAATGGGTAAAAGCTGAAGTGGTGTTGGTAAGGCTCTCAGTGCTTGTGGTTCTTAGTTGAGCTGAAAGGAGTGTTGTGTCACTGCACTTAATCTGCAATGCCAACTTCCGCATTAAATCGTCTAGTGAACAGCCATGGATAAAAACGTACTATTGGATTTCTTCAGGCAAATCTGTGCTTCAGGAATGAAGTGAACTAAAGCACACTTCTAAATTTCTGGAAATTGAGTAGTTAATGGCTTCCCTTTTGTAAAGGCTGACACTGGTTCTAAAAGTGATGATTTTGTAAATATAGAACTCCTGAAATTAGGAATCACAGAATGGTTTGGGTTGGAAGGGACCTTAAAGATAATCTACCTGCCATGGGCAGGGACATCTTCCACTAGACCTGGTTGTTCAAAGCCTTGTCCAGCCTGGCATTGAACACTTCCAGGGATGGGGCATCCACAGCTTCTCCAGGCAAATGGTGCCAGTGCCTCACCACCCTCTCCAGGAAAAACTTCTTGATGTCCAATCTAAATCTGCCCTCTTCCAGTTTAAACCAGTTACCCCTTGTAAAAAGTCCCCCCCAGCTTCCTTGTAGCCCCGTTCAGGTACTGGAAGGTGCTATAACATCTCCTTGGAGCCTTCTCCAGGCTGAACAAGCCCAACTCTCTCAGCCTGTCCCCATAGCAGAGGTGCTCCAGCCCTCTGAGCATCTGCGTGGCCTCCTCTGGACTCGCTCCAACCGGTCCATGTCTTTCTTACGTTGGGGGCCCTGGAGTGGAATGCAGTACGCCAGGTACTAGGAGGGAACTGTGAATTAGACCTACTGGTCACACTAGGAGTACTGCATGTGATATTCTTTAGAACTGTGTTCTTCTGGAAGGCCTTTATTTAGCTCTCTTTTACAGAAGAGGCTTTTTCACACACTTGAGAATACCTGAAAGTCTGATCCCAAGTTAGTAATTCTGTAACACATTGGACAAACAAAGGGTGCATCGAATGAGAGCAACATGTTGCTTTCTACAAAATCTGCATTGAGACCAGGCTAACTGTGTAGGAATTCCCTGTTTTGACTGATAGGGAATAGCTGTAGCTGAGTATGTGTTTTATTTCTGAAAATAGAGCACAAGTGCACCCTTCCATGAAGGACTTCAAGATGGTAGCTTGACTACCCATGCCAAAGATTGAGTTTCCTGAGAAAGGAGATTGATCGTGGGTAAAGAGGATGTAGCATCTCAAACAGTTCTTAATCTGACTGCAAATTGGGTTAATGGGCAGAAGGCCCGAGAGTAGCTCTGCAATGCTGCATATACAACTGGGAGCAAGGCCTCACACTTCCCAGGCTTCAACTGCTTGTTTAGGTATGTTTGACTTGGGTTTCTAGTCCTGGGCTTCTGACGTGGTCAGCGTGGTGATACTTCCCCTTCCTTCTCCAGCACGTAGAGGAAGGTGCAAGAGGAGGGTTCCATGTGGATTCCAGGTGTGACCTCATAAAACCTGTCAGCATTTATCTCTTTACAGATCCAGTACAGAGCATGTTACTAATCCTTCCTAGATTCTCCAGGAAGAAACCTGTTGCCTGCCTACTCATGTCTTTTTAAAGAGAGGTCACCTTTCACATGGATGATAATTTGGCATGGTTCTGACATGAACATAACCTCATTTTACAGCACCCAATTAAATAGTCAATTTTCTGAAATATGAATAGATTCAAATCTACATGTCTAGATGAATTAGTTCTCAAGTAGGTTGTTGCCAGACTGCAAGACAAAATACCAGTCAGTGCAGGCTGGCATGCACGTCCCATAGCTCTCTCTGAAAGCTTTGGTTGACTTCTGATCCAGTATCTTCCTTCTTACCCCTCTGAGGAAATGTTGGATGATGTCAGATATAAAAAGTAACTGTGATGCGACTTAAAATTTGTCAGAATGACCTGTTAAAAGAATTTCTGTCAAATGGTTTCCTTCCACGTAAAACTATTCAAGGGTGTGTGGTTTCTTGGGTCTTTTTTTGAACTTCTGATATTGTGTGCGCAGAAAATATTTTGTGTGCATCTTTTACTGTGAAGTCAAAGTGTAGAAATTGGAGTAATCTCTGATCTGCTTTGCTTCATCTCTCCACAGTTTGGCTGTGTGGAGAGATCAAACTATCAGTGGACAAATAACCGTTTCTGATTAAGAATCATGTGGATCATGAGGTTTAGTTTGTGGCAACACTTGAGTGTCCATAGGTGTGATGTGTAGAGTGGATGAGATTGCTGACAGAAGCTGTCAAATTTGAAAAGAATCTGATCTGAACATAATTACACCAGTATACTACTGACAGTGTAGTGATTTCAGTCTTTTTGACATAGAAAGTTGTACTGTTGATTTGGAGAATAAATGTAAAACAAAATTCAGGCAGTTGGGTGGCTCCTGAGTATTGAGGAATATACTGGGTGTTAAAAATAAGTAACTAGCAAGTAACCATGACAGTTATGTAAGTGTAACCTTGTGGTGAATGCATCATCAGTCCAGGGAACCCTAGGAATTCAGCTGTATGAGGAATTTAAGTATTCTGTATTTCGGATGGGGGTGTGAGAAGGGAAATAGTGACCTATTTCAAGCAATTAACTGCCTGTTCTGTTTAGGTTGATCCACAAAAATACAAGAGCATCTTCAATGGATTTTCAGTGACGGTCAAAGAAGATGGTGTTCGTGGCTTGGCGAAGGGATGGGCTCCAACCTTCATTGGATATTCCATGCAGGGGCTTTGTAAATTCGGTTTCTATGAAGTTTTCAAAATCCTCTATGGCAACATGCTGGGAGAGGTAAGCCTTGAGCGGTTGACATGAGGCTGCCTATCTGCAACGTTATAGTATTAGTAATGCAGAGTAATAACAAGAGCATGATTAATTAATACAAATGTGTGTTCACATTCACTACAGGAAAATGCCTATTTGTGGCGCACTTCGCTGTATTTAGCCGCATCTGCCAGTGCGGAGTTTTTTGCTGACATTGCTCTGGCTCCAATGGAAGCTGCTAAAGTTCGTATTCAGACACAGCCCGGATATGCTAACACCCTGCGGCAGGCTGTGCCTAAAATGTTTGGAGAAGAAGGCATTTGGGCGTAAGTATCCTCTTAATTTTTATTCACGGTCTTAATGTTGAGTATTTTTCCTAATGAAAGACTGTTGCTAAAACTGATTGTAGCTTTAGCTTTTGATACTTCTTGGTTTTCGTATTTCGAGATAAGAACTTAACATACTTAAGGGAATCTGTGCTGAGCTGGCTGTTAATTCCACATGCTCCTTAGATCCATCTTTGTGAGTATCTTTGTGCTGAGTTCTGCTGGATATTTCAGTTTCCAGCGGTTCCAGTCAGAGATACTCAGCAACTTTTTGGTTGTACAGTCAAAGATGCTTGAGTCATTGGCATGTAAGAGTAATACAACTGCATGTTAGCTTTCTGTTCTGATAGAAGTGGCTGTAAATATACAAGTCATTGATCACTATCGGGACTTGGCTGGTATGCAGACATGAGCCTTCTGTGCTTGTAGTGTCAGTACTGGGTTACTGCAGTGCGTTGTGATCTGGAAAGTGACTACAAAAACAGCTGTGCAGTGTAGGGATCAGGTAAATTCTAACTTGTGTTGCTGCTTTAAGTACTTGGGAACTAATAAAACTTGTGTTCTGTAGGTATTGAGACACTTAAGTCTTACAGTGTCCCTATTTAGAAGTTGTATTCCTGATAGCAACAATAAGCTAACTCATTTTTTTGCAAGTTAAAAATGTACCTCAGATACTGGAGAAAATGAAACTGAGTTTGTCTCTTCTCTGGTGAAGTTTCTATAAAGGTGTTGCACCATTATGGATGAGACAGATCCCGTACACGATGATGAAATTTGCCTGCTTTGAACGTACTGTTGAAGCTCTCTACAAGTATGTTGTTCCCAAGCCACGAAGTGAATGTACAAAAGGAGAACAGCTGGTAGTCACATTTGTTGCAGGCTACATTGGTGAGAAATCTTTACGTCCTACGCTTCTACCGCAACTCTACAGCCTTTTCTGAATATCAAATAGGTGTAGGTAGAATGGGAGAATTGACTTGTTTTTTAAATTTTAAACGAATTATATTCAGAATAATCTGTAAGTGGAAAATGGGTCTGTAATAGGACCATACTCTGTTACATACTCTTCCTGTGTATTGCCAATGTTAATGTCCAAGTTTAGAAACTGCAGCTGATTTAAGTGAAAAAAAATTGTCTTTGCTAGACTGGGGAAGGTTGAGGGAAGGGGAGAGAAACCTGGATGGAAGGGGGGTTTTCAATATCCACGGTTTCAGGAGGAATCTTGTTTTAGCAGAAGAGGTGCTGCAAGAGCACAACGAGGTGTTTTCCAATATGCATGTCACACTGTTAGTATGTACTTGCTGTCCTTCTAGGATACCAAGAGGCTTGCCATAACCTCTGTGCAATTTATTAGAAGGTGTGGTTTCAGTTAGTTGTCTTAGTGCACAGAGTAATGGTACAGCTAAAACACCATGGAACTAATGTCAAATTATTCTTACAGCTGGTGTGTTCTGTGCAATTGTTTCCCATCCTGCTGACTCCGTGGTGTCTGTGTTGAACAAAGAAAAGGGCAGTTCTGCCTCACAGGTTCTTATGAGACTCGGATTCAAAGGTACATCCTTACTTCCATATGTTTTAGATCAAGTGTTTCTTGTGTTTTGGGGAGGATTTTGTATTTTCCTGGCTTCTTATGCTACTCATGCTTTATGTTTTGCTCTACAGGTGTATGGAAAGGTCTGTTTGCCCGTATCATTATGATCGGTACGCTGACTGCACTACAGTGGTTCATCTACGATTCGGTGAAGGTTTATTTCAGACTTCCTCGTCCACCTCCACCTGAAATGCCAGAATCTCTGAAGAAGAAGCTCGGTCTAACTGAATAGACAACTCATGGACTGACTGTGCTGGCTGTCCCAGTGATGAGTCTCATGAAACTTTTATATATTTGACTATGTAGAAAACAAACTCTATATATGATGTCATTATTGGCTGTGCCCTCATCCCACATGAGGGTTTAAATTCTACCACTGTCATTGCCTGAAATAAATGAGAAACAGAGTGCTTAGTGTCTGTTCACTACTGCTTATGTAAGCTTCATTTCATAGCAGCAAATACCTCAAGTATACTGCCCCCGCCCCCCAAATAATGAAAAAAATTAACCTATTCTACACTTTAACTAGAAGATTGCAAACCAGTTATAACAAAGATAGACTTTCACTGTTTTCAGAGAAGTGATAAGAACCAGTCCTTGCCAAACTGCAGAAACTAACTGCAGTTCTATGCACTTTGAGTCCACTGTTTTATTTGCCTGTAATAAGCTGTTACTGTAGAAGAGCTGAACTCCTGAGTGACTTGAGACTGCGGTCTGGCAGGGCATCCTGCTCATAGCATCAGTGTTCTCCGTAGGGATAAAAGGAACTTGATACATAATAGAGCCATTTCTGCTTTGGGTGGTCATCCCAACATAACTAACTTGTGCTTACTTGACTAACTTCTGCTTCTGTTGGCTTTGAACCGCACCAAAGAATTCGGTCCTTTTGATTGTACTGTGGAATTAAACTGTAGCTGCTGCTTTAACAAAAGCTGATGTTAAAAAGGAGCCTCAAAGATATCTGACCACTAAAAGCTTACTACTGCTTTACAGTAAGATAAACATGGCTTGCCTCTTACTGTAGAGTTTAACAACCTTGCCAGCTTTTCCCTAGTTTGATTTGTTTTCCAAATTAGTGCGACTAATGCGGAGTCTTGGTTGAACCATGCGCTTCTGCAGTGCAAGAAGACTTCTTCGGGTTTTTTTGCCCCTTACTTGATAGGAAGAAAAAAAGCCTGGGCTCTTAGGCGTGCAGGGAGTCACATACGCAGTGTTTTGTTATGGCAATGCATTTTTTTTTTTTCCAGTGTTTGGCAGAAAGATGAGCATGCTGCCTTCTGTGTTTTGTGTGTTGAAGAACGCACAGTTGATAATCATGTTGAGCCAGAAAATGCCTAATAGTATGTAAAGGGTTCACATTATCCAGTAGTACTTTGTTAAGGGCTGGAGCTGAGTGACTTTTATGCAGAACCATTTGGATATGCTGCCTTTCGGCATGTGAGTTGATATGGCTTGGCATTCACGTATGTTTTACTGCTCCTTCCTCATGTCCTTTAGAGTCAGAAGGACAATTAAAGCAGGTGCAATTGGAGTAGCATAAACATACGGACTGCTGCATCTTCCTGGAGTCTGACATTCCTGCGTTAAGCAGGATGATGATGAGAAGCGTTGAGCTGGGAAAACCCTTTGACTTCTGCGGTTCTGGATGGTTCTGCTAAACAAGCTGAGCCTTATTTTGAATTGCCACCTTTCAAAGTGTGGAGTAAAATCTAAATTGCTCTATTGCCCCCTTGCCGTGATACCAAACACATTCTTAAGAGTGGTTGGTATCTAACTGCATATACAGCAAAGTCAAATTCCATTTGTCTAAATAAAACCTTTGTACGAGTACTTTTGTTGAATTAAACATATTTTGTGATAAAGTGTGTACATCTTGTGACCCCTTTTAAGTGGGAAGCTTTGAAATTAATTAAACATTAAATGCTCCTAAGAGCTTCCTTGGAGAAGAGCGTTAACTATGACCTGATGTTGTATCGAGACCACTGATGTTAAATCAGCTACTGAAGTTAACTTTTGCATGTGGTTCGGCATGTTAGGAAGAGCAGCGTCGCTCTTGTGCACTGAGTACCAGCGTTTCTTAAAAGCTGTGTTTTAACGTGGTAGACTTGTTTGCTGGAAAGCATCTTGAGTTCCTTCTAATTCTGGGGAAGTGAAGCACTTTTGTCAGCTTCTGAGGCTGGCAGGAGAGTGAGACGAACTTGGCTTGTGCAGTGAGGTAGTCTGATTGTCAGGTAACCCAACGATAAGCTAAATTTCTCAAAACTGTTTTGTCCTTCACTGTGGAGCAGAATCATGCAATTTTTCCTCTAGAATTGGGTTGCCTTTGTGCAGCCTTTTTAACTATGTGCGGTGATAACTCTTAAATCCATTTTCTCGTTGCTCAAGGGTAGATCTGAAGCTATCTTATTAAAGGTGCTCAGGTAATTTTGTCAAGGTAAATCTGAGCTAAGACTACGAGGGGCAGGTAGGTGTCCCCGTTTTCTTCTGTACCCGAGACAGGGAAGGTATGCTCAGTGCTACTCCCAGTGTTGTGTTTCAGTGGAAAACGTGAGAGGGGGGCAGAATTGCCTGGCAGCTGCTGACTTTGTGGACATTCAGCCTTAGGCTTGTTTGGATGCTTGGGATAAAGGGGTTTAACATATAAAATGCTATTGCTTAAAGGGTCACCCACTGAAATGTTGAATAAGCTTCTGTGGGCAAAATCCATTTAAAGGGTCAACTTTGTCATCAATAACGACATTCGCACCTTGCGTTTGTATCGGATTGTACTGCAGATCGAATGTGGGGATACTTGCCGAAGTGCTTGTTACGTATCGTTTGAAAACGGGCTGTAACAATACAAATAGCTGTAATTCATTTCCATCTCTACCTAGAAATTATGTAGTTTGCAGTGAAAACAATAAACATCCTGCTTTTTTATAGCAAAGATGAGTACCGTGGGTAGCTGAGCTTAGTAGCGACGTGGCCTTCCTTGTTACAGGATACCGCTTCTGTAACTGGAGTGCTGAGGGAGGATGGTGCTGGCAGCAACTTGTTGGCTGAGCTGAGGTTCTGGTGTCTAAAAGTAGATTTTAACATGCTCTGATTACTTCGCTCGTGTCATTTTTCAGCACTGACCACTTAAAGCTGGTGCGTGGGGTTTTTTTCCTGCTTGGGAGTTGCTGGCTGGAACACAATTGCCCGATTCCGAACCTGCATACTAGGTTAGAGGCAAAGGTGTCCCGAGTTACCACTACGGGTTGGGCTGCATGGGATGGTATGTTCTAAGTAGTGTAACTGTCATTTTCATTATTACCTGAATCTCTTAATCGCTTATTAAAATTGTGGAGTATCGTTGAATGCCCTAGAAATGAAGTTAGGAGTTGCAGTTTTGCTGAACTGATACTCTCCCCGCCGCTAACCGTGCTAAACCAAGGAGGAGAGGGCAGTAGCTGAATAATACCTCCATCTCTGCCTTACCTTTTCTGCTGTAGGAGTTTTGCCTCTGTCCTTAGACCACTGTAATTACAAGGCAAACTAAAATCTTAGGTTTTTAGTACAGTTGAGGTATGTGCTGGAAGGGCAAGCGAAGATTTGCAATACCTGCTGCTAGTTCTGCGGCTCACTATAGTATTTTACAGCTCAGAACCAATGAATGGTTACGATTCTTGAACAGATGCCGTGACGCTGGCAAAAAGCCATCAGTAGGGTTAGTAAGCATTGTCCCCATAGCGAGTTCTGTGGTTTTGGGACGTAACAGTGCTGCGCAGTAATTGCAATTTACAATCGTAAAGCCTCACAGAAAACTCCTCACAAATTTCTCCATCTAATTTGCAAGGCATCAGCAATATTTCTGGGCATTGCTTGCTTCAGTGTGTTTACCTCTTAAATACTAAAAAAGAAAGTGGTATAGCTTACAAAAATCAGAGTGACTACACTGAGACAAATTGCTACAGCAGTCTGAGTAACTTTTGTTTACCTCCATCTGGAAACCATGGTTTTATTCCTTCCTTTGCAGCAGGAAAGGAAAGCTGAAGATCTGTCAGTCCGGGGTCCTGCTTTCTCCATGAAAGCAAACTCCAAAGGTAAGAACAACATTTTACGCCTTAACACTTTCATTGTACAAAACAATTTATTAAATATAGCACCTGTGATCCTTCAGAAAGACCAGTACATGCAGAGAGATGTGTTTTGCCCACGTTGCAGCTTGTCCCTTGAAAACGGTTATCACTTTCCTGTCCTTTGTCCTCTTCCTTTGAAAGACCTTTCGGTGTGCTTCGAAATGAAGCTTTAAATAATCACTGAGTACCATGCACGATGGAGTCCCAAGATTACTACTGTTCTTCCCTCGGGCAGTGACATTGCACAATGATCAGTTCATGTCTGAAATCTGGGTTATTTCCTCTTCCACATCTTTGATCTCAGTTTGAACTCTTGTAAGAATGGCCAGTTTCTCCTTCAGTAAAGCCATTTCTTTCTCCCGTCGTAATACATCCTCCACTAATCTTCCTATTCTCAGCGTAAGGTCATTTAGCAATGGCTCCAAGGTGGCAAAATCCTTTCTGAGTCTGTACATCTTGGGTTTTAAATCATTTGCAAACGTAACCGCCTTCAGAACTTTGGCTCTGTCACCTTCGAGATTCAGAAGTCGGTCTGAGTGCTTGTTAAAACTGCTCCTGAGCTCAGACAGTGCTGTCCCAATCTGCTCAATTTTTCTTGCGTTGCTGGATGCCAGGCTCTGTAGTTTTGTACTTCGGTCGATGCTGCTGGTAAGCAGGTCACCTATATGTTTGATTGTCGTCTTCTCCCCATTTTCTACTTTATCTTCTAGTGCTTGCAAAGAATGTGTCAACGCAGTCATATCTGAGACTAGGCCAGAAATACGCCTTATGTCAGTTTTTACTGTCACAATCATCAAAGTTAGGTTTTTTGCGACAGAAGCCGCATTCTGTTCAGTGCTTGAAACTGCACGATAAAGGGTTGTGAAATTCTTCTGCAGTTCTTCTTGGTTTTTAATTATGCTGCTCGACGATGTTTTCATTGTGTAAATATCTTCCTGGAGATGCTTAATGTGAGAAGTTATTTGATGATCTTCCAGCTGTTCTATTAAGCTCGAAGTCTTCCCGCACTAGAGGGATAAAAATAAAAATTATTGACAAGATTTCTAGCTGAATGACCCCTGTCCAAGTTCAGGCTATACTATAATGAAATATCTTACTGTTCTGAGATTGAGGGCAAACCCTGTCTCTAGGAAATCAACTTTGGTTGGGACAGAACAAAGATTTCCTTTTTTTTCTCCTTTCAGTATACATAAATTCAAACATTACTACTTTTTCCATTAAAACAAAAATTACAGGAAAGTGCTGTATAACCAGCATAACCTCTGAAAACACCCAAGTCATCAAATGCTATTTTGATTTAGAGGAATTTTGGAATTAGGCATGGTTCCCTCCTGTTTAAATAGCCACCAAAATACTTCACAGGAAGACCATGAAAAGCTACGTTAATGTAGGAACTCTGCTGCTGCTGTTGGATTTTTGGCTGAACTTGCTAGTTCGCTTTGTTTGTTTGTTTTTTAAACAACTGGTTCTTAGTTTTCAAATTATGAGGAAGAAAGGAAAATACCCTCCTGTTCAACCCCCAGTAAGTCAGTGTAGAACTTGAGAAAAAACTTGTAGAACAGAAGAAAAAACCCACTGAAAAGGCAAGCTGAAACATTCAGAGGCTGTAATTAGTTTCATACTAAGCCTTTGTTTGACACCACTATATAAAATGTCACCAACAAAAGAATCGTCTAGCTGTTTGATAGTATTGGTGATTCCTCGCTAGCACAGAGCCGTTTGCTTACGCCCATGTCAGTTGCGGAGGGTTGTGCTGGTTTCCCAGTTCAGGCCCTCGAAGGACGAGGATTCCCTATTCAGTCTCACATACATTCCGCTTCCAATGGGGTTGAGGCTGATGAAGGACGTTAAACTGGGGAGCATACCACTGGTAATTTAGCCACCCTTCCCCAAAAATGTATGAAGTAGAAACACACTGGAACACACTTGTGGAAAGTATTAAAAAAAATAAAATCTGTATAAAATAGTATTTCTTAATGGAACGCTGAAATATTTCCTCCTTTCTTTCCTTTTCTGAAAAAGCAATTTATTTTGGCTTGGATTATGTACCAGGACATGGCAATCCACTACAATACACTTTTACTGAATATGAGTAAACAGATAAATCTATATGTAAGTAATAAATATATGAAACTGAAATACTGTGTAACACTGAAAAACGCTGGCTTAATAACCTCTTGAATGAGCAGCATTAACTCTCTAGTGAAGATTCCAGTAGAGTTCTACATAAATGCGCATACAAAACCAGAACTTCAGCCCCACTAAGTCATACCTGTTAAGACAAAAGTCTGTAGACACAAATTTACAGTGGTCTCGAGATCCAGATTCCAACAAACACCTACCAGGCCTACTAGGTAGTGCTACATGTAAGTAGACCGGTCAGACCTATGGATAAAGTTGACTTTCCCTGCACGCAAGTACGTAACTCCATGGCTTTTTAGCGCAGCTCTTGGTTCACCAAACTTTGGAGACCAATGTCAGTGACATTGTTAGGTTTTCCCCCTTTGAAATGCAAGGCGATACCAGACAGGTCATGTAGCCTAATGAAGGTTCACACTTGTGTTTAACAGCACCACAACGAACTACACCCTCCCCCCGTCCCCTCCCAAATAATAATACAGTGACTGATCACACCAAACATGCACATTAACTGATAAAAGACTCTAAGAGGAATATCTGCTAATGACAACTGCGGACTGTATCCGACGACTTCAGCGGCAGAACAAAACTATGCCAGTGATTTCAGACAGTTTGAAAAGGCTGGAAATGAGGTCCAAGGAGGCTATTTGCGTGGCATCAAAGAAATAAAAGATGACACCAGCTGCTATCAACCCCCCTGCCCATGAACACCATCACGAGAAGGTTCTTGGTGAGGGGCACTTCACCAGGTGTTTTCTGTAAGGCTGCGGTGTGTAAGCTGCAGCTGTTAAAAGTGTACTTTGTGCTTTCCTGAGTGTGAAAAGTACGTGGAGTAAGAACTCTGAGGCTGAGAAGTCTGTACCGTACGCGCAGGAACGCTGTGGTACGCAGCGCATTAAAAGCGAGGTACAGGTATGTCTGCCCAGAGGTAAAGAGCCTGGCTGCTCCTTGTGTTACACGTCCATGGAACAGAACACAAGAAGTAAAAATATAAAGCGGTGAGAAATAAATATGAATTTTAATCTGATGTCTCTTTTTCTTAAATCAAAATACTTCGCTTCAAATTCCATTTGAATAAAAATGGTCTTTAAATAAATAACATGAAAATAATCCTTACTTTAGTTAAGGAAGTACTCTTTGCCTCCTCCAACACACTTTCTTGCCCTCTATCCTCTGTTGTTTCCAGCCTGATCCAATGCCTACTTAAATCCACCAGTATTTCAGATACCCTTAAGATATGCTGGAGTCACATTATTTGTAATAAATTACAGTGTTCTTTCCTTAATGAAAACCGTAAATCCAAATTTACTCATCCCCATCCTGTCCATTTTCTAAGCTATAGCTTTCTGAAGGAACTTCTTTCGCTTTTGAGGATACTTTTGTGTCAAGCACTACTTTTTCCAAAACCACCACGTCATTCTGCACTTTCAACATGCTGCCGTTGTACTGCAGGCCTTCGAGAACCCCTTGCATCGCCCTTGTGTCAGAAACAGTTTTCAGCACAGCATTTTCCACAGAATATAGCTGTGATGTCAAGTCCTCTGTTTTTTTCTCCATACTTAGCAATTCACTTGAGAATCTAAGAATAGAGTGAATAGCGTTTTCAATTGTTGGCAAATGGGTCTTGCACTCTTCAATTTTAGGTTCACAGTTGGCAAGTTTCTGACTGAGGTCTGAGTCCTTGGCTACCAGACTATTCTGTTGTTCTTTCAGCTTTTCAACTGCCTTTGCATGTAAGTCCAACTTTTGTTTGACTCTAGAGAATTCATCATCTTCCTGCCTTTTTAGTGTTTTAGTATTTCTGGCTGTGCTGTCTTCCACATCTCTTACTCTTTCTGAAAGGGATTTAATTCTCTGGTCAGCTTCATTAATTTGGGAAGTAACTTCCGTATGTATAAACTTCGCTTCAGATTTTAAACTGCTGGTGTCTGCGGTCATTTCCTCCAAGCTTCTTATCCAGGCACTTGTAACATTTTGGAACTTCTCATGAATGCTCTGCATCTTCACAGCCAGAGTCAGTTCCTTGTTCTGGATATCATCTATGATGTTGTGAAGAGAAGATATTTCCCGCTCGAACTCAGTCATCACAGAGATGGAGGAGGCAGCTTCTTGTAAGATACTTTCAGAAGACTCAAGCTGCATTTATAACACAAAACAATGTCCATGTCTACTCAGCAAAAGTAAGAATAGAAACCCATTTCCATTTATTCAACAGAGACTAAAGTCCCTTAGAAGCCACTTTACTTGTTACAAAGCTCCTACATGATTTTCCTATTTCATCTTTAAAAAATACTGCTTAACCTGGCATGAAAAAGGCACAGAAAAGAATGGCTGTTGTTGAATTTCTATAGAAATTTTCTTTCCTCTTTTCTCTGTTGTCAATCCCTTATTTTCCATGTTTTTTTTTCTAAGTGTATCACACTACCTAGATCCCATGCAACATTTTGCAATCTGAACTGTAGTATATAAATACCCAAATTACATCATGTATAAATGACATCATTATGAGAACAGTGCTAAAACAACATCGCTGGCATAAGCCATCATTATCTGTAAGATAAGGGGATAATTTGGCAGTCAGTCCAAGTTTTCTACTCCATCATGTCACACATGGATATGAAAATAAAACAGCAATGAAAATACTATGACTTCATCATGTCTTCTTATTAGAACAGGTCTACTCCATAACCATGCCTGTAAATCTTCTTCAAATCAATGTAAATGAGACTTATACACAGAACAGCACTGGTAGAATGAAGTATGTGCATAAATGTTAATTTCTGAAAACAATGTAGTGTTTAAGAAATAATACTGAGATAGAGCCATTATACTCACTTACTTGAACAGGGGTATGGATTGACAGGTTTAGTTACATGAACTATTCTCCAAAGGCCTATTCACAGGCAAGTAGAACACATCATGAATATTTATTTTTAAAGTCAGTTAAATTTCACTAAATGACAACAAAGTAAAACAATGTCAAGTGTTCACCAGACACTGTCCAATTGTTAATGATTACCTTTTCAGAAATTAAGTTAACTTTATTTTCCACATCCATGAATTTTTCAGCTTCCTGCTGTAAGAAACTGTACTTTTTTTCCATATCAGCAAATTGATTTGACTGCTGAAACAGGAACCTGCAAATAGATAAACAGTAAACAGACGCACATGATTAGAGCAGAATAAGTGTTTTGGGAGCTGGTTCACAGCAGTATGTTACTGCAGGGATTTGTGTTCACAGAATTTGCTAGATCAGTACATGAGAGAAAAGAATAATTACGATTTAATGCAGTTGATCTGTCTTCACACTGGAGTTATCTTCCAATAGAGGTGCAAAAATAAGGCAACATCCATAGATGTTCTTTGTTTTCAAGACTGTGTGCCATTCAAACAGGAATAATGTCCGATAAGGCTGCTGGTACAGGGAGGCCATGCCATGCTCATAATTCGTTGTATCACGATATACTTCACGGACAAAGTATTATTTAACCAGTGGAAATAAACCACAAAAAAATAAGTTGGACTTTCTTGCAAAGCATGACAAAATCATGCACAGAAGCCTTTGGATTCAGAAAGGCTGGCTAACTCCAACCTTGTTTAATTGTAACCAACCAAGAACATAGGGTGCATTGAGGCAAACCTTGTGTAGCTACTGTCAGGATGATACTAGCTCTGTGCACAGGCAGCAGAGATCTCCATCCTGTACTTCATACACGTTCCAGACTCATTTACTGTGAAGTTGGGATCTTGCTGAACGGTAAGCATTTTGTCCAGTTAAAAAGGAAGTGAGACAACTAAGCAAAAAAAACCCCTGAATTTTGCTGGATGTTTATTAATCCCAAAACCAGGTTTATTGGAGACAATGCAGGGATCCTCTCAGTAGTAAGAACAATGTAATCTAGAACAATAGAATTTATCTAAAATACTTGTGCTTTCATAAATTGCTATTTGTTAGGATGTTGAATAGCAATTAGAAGTTTCAAAAAAATTACAGTATTCTACACAGATTGTTAGGCAATAAAAGCTAAAATGCTAGCCATAGATAGATAAATGCAAACCAGACATCCACAGATACAACACAAAACTGTAAGCAGAAGCATCACTAATCATTTCATTCTACTATGTTGTTCTGTTTCTAAAGGATTCAGATAATAAAGTCTGGGTGATGTTAAAGTAAGAACAAATTCTCCCCTAATTTTCTAGAGTGTAGTAATCTGATTTCTTGCACTAGAGTTCTGAGAACTTCATCACATCATTTCTGCATGAGGCTGTTTCTGTTGGAACTCAGGTACTGACGCTGCTAAGATATTCTAACACATCTTTTGCAGAGGTATTTGACCTTTACGTGAAGACTCCACCTGATGACCAATTTACCACACTGCTGAGCAAATTGTTTACAGCAAATCCTACTTCACTTCTGCTGTTGAATTATTCACTACCTGCCAAAGGAGCCTTGTGGTACTTCTTGTCAGATTAAGTTGCTCTTCACAGTCAGTCTCCAAAGCAGGTATTTACAATTCATGAGCAAGGCACCTTTTAAACTTTCAACATGACAGAACAGACTGAGCTTCCATAATGCCTCACACTACAGCTATGTTTCCACACTTACGGATGCTGCTCTTCTCTCCTCGACCCTTCTACCTTTAACAAGTTTCTACAGTCACTTAACCTGAACGCTATATTCAAATGTAACTGATCGTATGGCCCTTGACTGAATGCAGTACAGAACGCAAAAGAAAACATTTTAGTGTGTTACCTACCAGGTCAGCACCAGGCAAACAGCAAGGGAAATGATGCTCAAGGTTGTCCGTGAGTCCATCCAAAAGGAACTCCGATGATTGCCGGTCCTGGGACTTGCCAGCTTCCCACAGTTACTGTGCTTCTCAACCTTTTGCGAATCTTCATTGGTCTTGGATGAAGAGATACCCTTTTTCCTCTGCTTAACTTCAGACATTTTGTGTTTTTAAAAAGCAGATGCAAGAGAGAGAGCTAGGGAAAAAAAAACAAAACCAAGAAGGACTTGTTACTTCTAAACAGCCCCAAATATAACCTTTTGCCCTTTAGTTACACAAACACCCCCCCAAAATGTTCCTTCAGTGTTTACTACGTTTTCTGGTTATGTGAACTTTTATGAAGTGTCATAAGACTTACTTCATGAAAATTTGTTTTCTATACTATAGAGTACTGCTTTCATATTTTCTCAGACTGAACTGACTTTTCAATCTCTCCAGAGGTATTTCATCTATTGTACAATAAGCCATGTTGAAGATATATTTAAAATCACGAGGACTGAAAGCATGATATTTATAGTTGATTACTGTCACAGTTTCATCAGCAATTTCACTATTTTGTTTCACTTGTGGATTTTTTTTTTTTTTAATTATTCCCTACTTCCGGGGAGACCTTATAGCACCTTCCAGTACCTGAAAGGGCCAACAAGGAAGCTGGGAGGGAACTTTTTACAAGGGCCTGTAGTGACAGGACAAGGGGTAACGGGTCTAGACTGAAAGTGGGGAGGTTTAGATTGGATATCAGGAAGAAGCTCTTCCCGCAGAAGGTGGTGGGGCACTGGAACAGGTTGCCCAGAGAAGCTGTGGATGCCCCATCCCTGGAAGTGTTCTAGGCCAGGCTGGATGAAGCTTTGAGCAACCTGGTCTAGTGGAAGGTGTCCCTGCCCATGGCAGGGGGGTTGGAACTAGATGGTCTTTAAGGTCCCTTCCAACCCAAACCATTCTGTGATTCTATGAACCAAGCAGAAGTAGAGACTGGAATTCCTAAGCCTAAACTCTTCCACCATGCTGCTCAAAACAGACCAGATCCTTGGTGGATTTGGTTTAGCACGCTTTGAGAGTAAAATTTTGCGCATCTTTCCGGATCATTCTGCCATATTACCGCTTAGCACATGTCTAAACATAAATATTAGGGGTATATAATCACATACACGTGTAAAAGGCATTGTTTAAAACATAAATCTGCCCGTAAAGAGCACCAAGCTTAGAGCTGTTTGGGAGTCACAGTACTGGTTTGCACCACGTAGGAAAAAAACCCATCCCTTGCTCTCCCCCCGGTGTTTTGAACACTTTAGGGACTGAAAACAAGTAGTTAAAGAAGTTAAAATCGAGACCTGACCGGTAGTGAGGGAAACAGTTTAATACAGGAACAGCAGCCCAGCTTTAACAAGGACAACCTGGAAGCGCATCCCCGCGGGGTGCAGACCCCCGCGAGCCCCCCACCCCCGTCCAGCTCGGCCCGCAGCACCAGAGGTGACCGGC